GGGGGGGGGCGGCGTGCCCAGCTGCATCAACCCAGGAGCCACAAGTGTCCCGGCAGACAGCCAAGGAGGGGCACCAGAGAGACCCCGACGGGCAGACCTCGCAGGGAGGGCAGGACACCTCCTGTGCGGAAGGAGCAAGGAGGCAACACGCAGGCAGCCAAGGAACCCACCTGGTGGGACCCACAGGGATCGGACGTCCCTTCCAATCGCAGCACCCCAGTGCCTGAGTAGCAGAAGCACAGTATTGTCATGCTGGACCCCCCAACCACAAGAACGGAGCCTCTTCCTGCAGCCTCACCCCCCCCACACACACAATCCAAAACATCCCATTTATTTACTTCATTCAGACTCCATCTTTCTGCAGAGTGGGGGGCCCAAAGCCGCTTATACTTCATAATCCTTTTCCTCTGTTTTAGCCTCACAACAGCCATGTGAGGTAGGCCAGGCTGAGAGCATGTGACTGGCCTGAGGCCACCCAGTGAGCTTTCTTGGCAGAGTGGGGATTCGAACCCGGGTCTCCCAGATACCAGTCCGACACTGGCACACCTGCACGCAAAGGCCTTCCGTATCGCTCCCATGGCAGGGGACCAATGGCGTCTGGCCTGACTTTGCAAGGAGCAGCTGGTGCCGGAGATAAGGGTGCTGCTGACACACGAGTAAAGCTGGGTGGAACAGAGCTGGGGGGGGGGGGGGGGGGGGGGCGGGGACTGACAGGCAAGGCATTTCTCCACCAGCCTGAGGGAGACAGCCCCAAGAACAGCCTTCTTCTTTCTCATTCCCTCCCTGTGTAAACCGGGCCAAAGGTTCAGCGGAATGGGAAGACCCATTCCGGACTAGCAACCAGTGTTCCCTCTAAACTGGGTTAGTGTGAGCTAGATCACAGTTTTTTAGACTTTGGCTCACACATTTTTGTCTTCGCTCAGGAAGGATGGCTCCAAAGCAAACTAATTTATGCAGTAGACAAATCGCTCACAACTTTAATGCCAGTAGCTCACAAAGTGCAATTTTTGCTCACAAGACTCCACAGCTTAGAGAGAGATTTGCTAGCAACCGGCAGTGTTCCACACCCCTCAAGGAAAGAAGCAAGAAAAGTCTCAACCCCCCCCCCCCCCGGCCCTCTCTTGAAACACAAACACCTTTTTCTGTGCCTGCCTGATCCATCTCCAAACCCGCCCTTCAAGTCAACAGTCTCTACTGACGGTTTGGCATGAAGCAGCTCCCAGTCTACAGGATTTACATTCTTGTGCAGATCATTAATGAACACGCGCCCCCCCCCCCATCCCAAAGCACATAGGGTAGGACTCTTGTGCCAGAAGCAAACTGCAGGGGGTGGGGGTGGGGGGACAGTAAGAAAAGACGGGCTCCTTATCTGACATAACATCCCCAGCTCAGGGCCCAAGTTCAAATCCGCCTCCTCTGTTAACTCAGCAGCAGCAGCAGATAGCACGCCAGGACCCGTGGAGCCCTGAGTTCAAGTTCCATTTACAAAGACACCTTCAAGTCAGTTTCCCACTGGTAAAACGAGGAGGCCATCACCAAAATGTGACCCCAAAACGCCCCTGGAGAAACAGAAGGAGAAGGACAAGGCACCGGGCCTGTCAAGAGGCACCAAGGCCAAAACAGCACGGACTCTCACCACCCCTCATTAGGGCCAGCAAGGAACTACTCACCAAACACAGGAAGACTAAGAGCATCACCTTCGGCAACAGGGTTTCCCGTTGTGACACGGAGAGCTGCCTTTAAAAGCCTGCAGACTTGCAGGGAATGCTTTTAACAGTATCAGACCTCACCTTAAATATTCTTCCACAGAATCTAAAATTCCTCTAATGAGAGAGACTAATTAATCCCACATTCCCTGGCAGAACATCCAGCACACACTTAAAAGAGCTAGAAAAGTCTTTCAATACCGAGAGAAGTCCTGGTATTGACTAAAACCTACAATCTCAACTGTGTGTAACATTTCTTTTTCCAACACAACACAACACAACAAAAACCTTGCACTGTTTGAAATTAGTAGCCACACTAAACTAATCAGCGAATCAGTGACCCAGGTTCAAATCCCGCTCAGCCATGATGCAAGGCCAGCAGTCATTGTCTCTTTAGCCTACTTTGCTGGGTAGTTGTGAGGATAAACAGAATGACGATGCGGAAGTGTTTTGCAAATCGAACCTGTTCTGGACATAGAATCATAGAGTTGGAAGGGACCTCGAGGGTTAGCGTTGCCAGGAAGCAATTTTTCTCCAGGCCGGTTTGGCCAGGGATCCTGGAGGTTTTTTGTCATATTCTGGTAGGGTTCCCAAATCCCCCCGGGGGGCGGATTTCCCCCCACTTTCAAGGCTCGATTCCCGCTCCCTGGGGGGAAACCCACCCCCGCGTGTACGTCACCCGGAAGTAATGTCGCACGCTGGGGGCGG